CCACCGTTGGGGACAATGGCTGTGAAACGGCTCCTTCATCCTGTCGCCTCGGCCGGCGCTCCCACCCCTGAGGAGGAAACCGCTCAGGCCTGAGACTGGCCCACGAGTGGCTTCGATTTACCACGGGCCCCGGGCCTTTCCAGGCCGTTTCTCTCCTTCCTCCTCTGTGTCTGCAGAAGAGAAAGAAAGGATTCAAAGGAAGGCCGACTGCTAGTTCTTCCTGCAACTTTCTGTTTTCTCACTCCAAAAACCACGTGCTCCAAACTCAACCGCTTATTTCCGATTCCTGAATCCACCATTTGACTTTTTTTTTCTAAAGACAATTTTTCGGGGAGCAGTTTTGGGTTCATAGAGGAATTGAGGGGAAGGTACAGAGATGCCCCACAGGCCTCCTGCAGTCATGTGCAGGGCACCCCTCCTTGTCAGCATCCCCCGCAGACGGTACCCGTGTGACAACGGATGAACTGACGTTGATATGAGCTCATAGTTTACGTTAGGGTTCATTCTTGGTGTTGCTCATTCTGTGGGTTTGGACCCATATATGATGACGTGTATCCATCATTATAGCATCTTACAGAACAGCTTTACCGCCCTAAAAAATCCCCTGTGCCCCACCCATTCATCTGTCCCCCGGCCCTAAGCGTTGGCAACCACTGATCTTTTCTCTGTCTCCGTGGTTTCGCCTTTTCCAGAATGTCACAGAACTGAGATCACACCGTACGTGGCCTTTTCAGACTGGCTGCCTTCAGTTAGTAACATGTATGTGAGATTCCTCCACATCTTCTCATGACTTGATAGTTCAATTCTTTTTCGCTCTGAATAATATTGCACTGTCTGGATGAGCTACCGTCTGTGTGTCCCTTCACCCACTAAAGGACATCTCGGTTGCTTCTGAGTTTTGGCAATCATGAATAAAGCTGCAATAAACACCTGTGGGCATGTCTTTGTGTCCTTTAGGCAAATACCAAGGAATATGATTGCTGGATCATACGAGAAGAGCATGTTTCATTTTGTTAAGCTGCCAGACTGTCCTCCACAGCGGCCGGACCATCTGCGTTCCCGCCAGCAGTGAAACAGGGCCCTGCTGCTCCACACACCAGTTGGCTTTCAGTGTATCAAGAAGGCCACGGGGTTTGCAGCACTAGCTTCCTGTTTAAAACAGAAGAAAGAAGCAAGGGGGGCAGCCGAGAGGGAAGCGAGTGGATCCCGGCTGGATGGATTTGCTTTGCATTCGCTTTGGTCGGCTGCGCCCACAATTTAGGCAGTTGGGATCAAAGCTGGTGGGTGGTGCCAACCGGCCGGTGGTGGTGACGGCACACGAGGCCGCCAAGGGTGCTCCCCTGCCTCCAGGCTGCCTTTCCTTTAGAGTTGCTGCTGTATTGAAATTAGCACATGCCCACCCCTAGTTTTCACAGATCTGTTTTAAGATGGGGGTCATTTTAGAGAGCAAGACTGCAGTATTCCTGCCGATGAGGTGGCTTTTCTCGTACCCATCTCCCCTGTGGACCCGGGCAGGTCACCTTACCTGTGAGCATGTTCCTGTCGCCAAGGGAATTAGATCAGTTCATGCCCGGGTGACAGGCTAGAGGCCTCCGAGGGCAGAGGACGCAAGGTCAGCGAGCCTGGCTCTGAGCTGAGTGACAGTGACCACACCAACCGGCAGGACAGGCACCCAGAGGTCCCCCACCCCCACCCAGAGCTGAACATCCCCGGCCTGGGAGCTGAGGGGCCCCGTGAAGCTTTTCTCCATCACTGCTTCAGACCCAGAAGCTCCTGGCTTCCTGAAAACCTGCAGCCTTGACCCCCCAGCATCTTTTTCCTCCACTTGTGTCGCTTCTTCCCCCGTCCCCTGTCCACTGGGCAGTGAGGACAATGCAGGTCATTGCGACACAGACTGCGCTTTCTGATGGCTGTTCTGCGGGGGCGTTGATCAACCCAGGGGACACCAGGTTTCTAGGAAGCTGGGTTTATGTGGAAGTATTGCTGTATGTGAACGAGCACCTGCAGGGACCCGTAGCAGGTAGGATGAGCCACTTAAGAGAAAAACCGCTGTCTGGATACGTTCATGTCCCTCCGAGTGAAATCCTAGGGACAGTCCACCCTGTTATGTTCACTACTCCTCATGCAGATTGGTTCTTTTTTTTTAATTAAATTATAGTTGGTTTACAATGTTGTGTTAGTTGCTGGTGTACAGCATAGTGATTCATATATATACATTTATATATTCTTTTTCAGATTATTTTTTGTGACAGTCTATTACAATTGAATATCATTCCCTGCATTATACAGTAGGACCTCGCTGTTAATCTATTTTATATATGGTCTATATTTTATATACACTATATAGCAGAGGGAACATTTTGACGATTCTTGGTGCAGTAAGTTCTTAACCTCTCTCCGTGGTGTTCTTGATATGAACAAAGTGGAGCATTTTGGAGAAACTCTATAAGGCTGAACACTTCTCCCAGGAGGCGGGAAATGGAGCAGAGGCCTGGCCGGGTGGGCGTGGCTTGTGGGCTGCTTTTGGTGCCGGACAGCAGGCTGCAGGTGGAGCGCCTGGCAGGATGTCTGAGGGCCAGAAAGGCTGGTGCTTGACTCTCATTCGTTAGCTGGGAGACTTTGTTAATTATTCCACTTTCTTCGGCTTCTGTGTCCTCATCTGTAAAACAGAATGGAACAGTCTCCACTATTCTTTACTGATTAAATTAGCCTCGGGATGGAAGGGGAGATGCGTATAGGCCGCCTGTCACATAGCAAGTGCTCGATAAAT